GCCACTGGAAGGGAGCACAGCAGCAGGAGACCCAACTGCGGTTTGTGACTATTATGATTCCCCATTGTAGCCAATTCCGTTGCAGTAATTCTGTTTCAGATTTTTTTGGTAATTCTGTTACCAATTTTTGGTAATGGAATTACGAGTTTTAATCACTTATTTATTAATTAACAAAATTGATATCAGTAAAATCAATTGGTAGGTCTGCCTTTACTTGTTAGTCATGTGAACGTTCATGATCCTCCCTCCTCATGAGAGAGAGAAATTAGAACATTCAGTATCTTAAAGGTTTTTGGTAACAGAGTTACAAGGTAATATTTCTTAAACTTACATAATGTAAACAATTTCTCCAAAACAACATATAAGTGTTGATATTTGTTGCCAGGGGTCTTTACTTTAACATTATTGTGTTTTGATGTATTTCTGATACCTTTTAAGACTTTTTCTGCCAGATGTTTTCTAAGCACCCTTTTCCATCTGTTTATCAAGAAATCAAAGCCTTAGCTTATGTCACATTTTTAAGATGGAAAATGTATCTATGCCTTCATTTCCCAAATATATGGACTCTTAGCTTTCATTTAACACCCGATTTGATATGCTCCTATGAACTTCCCATGTTGGTGCTCATGAGTCATTTTACATGGAAATGCCACTGGCTGGCTTCCAGCGAACATTTGGTCAAATTAAAAACAATTTAATTATCCTGCTATAGTATCAGTTTTCGTACAAAATATATTAAATTATCCAACATTACCCGCTGTTTGTTTACAAGAACATCCTCTGCCGCTTCTTCAACTTCAGTAAAAAAAAAATATATATAACAATAATAGAACAATATTACACAGCAATACAGGGACATTCCACAACACAATGCAACACAATGCAACAAGAAAACACCATACAAAAATGAAAAACAGTTGTCTTAATAAGTCCACGTAAAGGAATTGGAATTCCTTTGCAAAAGTGTTGTCTAACTCATCCCCTGGTCAAACCAACGTCAATCCAACTAATCCCCTGGTCAAACCAACTAATCCCCTGGTCAAACCAACTAATCCCCTGGTCGATCCAACTAATCCCCTGGTCAATCCAACTAATCCCCTGGTCAAACCAACGTCAATCCAACTAATCCCCTGGTCAATCCAACTAATCCCCTGGTCAAACCAACGTCAATCCAACTAATCCCCTGGTCAATCCAACTAATCCCCTGGTCAAACCAACTAATCCCCTGGTCAATCCAACTAATCCCCAGGTCAATCCAACTAATCCCCTGGTCAATCCAACTAATCCCCTGGTCAAACCAACGTCAATCCAACTAATCCCCTGGTCAATCCAACTAATCCCCTGGTCAAACCAACGTCAATCCAACTAATCCCCTGGTCAATCCAACTAATCCCCTGGTCAATCCAACTAATCCCCTGGTCAAACCAAAGGCCTTTAAAAAGGGATTTCCTATACATTTTAATAACTCTATTATTCCAAATCACTGTTTAATGTGGGATTTTTTCTTTGCTTGAATATCATTTTCCAGAAAAAATGTATTTGCTGGTGAAACTTCACAGATAATTTTGGAGGGTCAAGATCACACTTCATTAGTAATTAAAGTTCAACTAGTTTATTAAACTGTTAGGGATATGATACAACATAGAGATAGGATAGACATCATTTCAACCATTTAATCTTAAAAGTACCCACTAATGACTCAAAATCAATAGCCTGTAAACCTCTTTCACTAATTGAGATTTCAGAATATAATGCATTTTATTCATCCAAATAAATCTAAATATGACAGAATTGACTTTTTTGATGTTCTAAAAAAAAACAAGGGACTGACTTAGGTAAATTATTCTAGATAAACCATCAGTCTTAGAGAAAAGAATCTGACCCAAAATTGAGATCACGTTGCAGCCAATAACTTAAAGAAACTCTTATGGAATTAATTATACTATGTTAAAGATTCTCTATCTAAAACGTTATTAGTGATAACAATTGCTAAATGTTTTACTTCCTTTTTAACAAGTATGAAGGCAATGTTGATGGAGTCACAGCAATGAATTGGCATGAGATCACATTTGTTAAGGTTGAGAGTCAACCTGTTAAGAAATCAGGCCAATGAATCTGTGGCTAAAATAAATAAAAAAGGGGAGATTGGACAACCCTGTCTAATTCGTCTAGCAATAGAGAAACAAGGGATGATCCATTACTCATAGCCACCAAACTGCTAGTATCAGAATATATCATCCTTATCTCTTTACAGAAATTCTTCCGGAACCCAAAAGTAGAGAGAGTTCTAAAAAAATTTAAACAATGTAAAGCCATGTTCTTCTATGAACTCACTGTAATCTAGGATATTTTATACCAATCCTATACGGTTATGAATATTCCTTCCTTTAATGAAGGCTGATTGAGGTTCACTGATTATATCATCAAGGACTTTTTTTCAGCCTATTGGCATAGACATGGGCTAGTAACTTAAAGTCAGTTTTCAACAACCTAATTGGTCTCCAATTGTCCAAGTAAAGAGAGTCCTTCTTTGGTTTTGATCGAATAACTATTAGTCCCTGTCTCAAAGAAGGAGGTAAGATAGCATTAGCAATACCCTGTTTGTAGACCGAAGCAATAACTCTCTAATATCAGGCCAAACATGTCAATAGAATTCAGGAGTCAGGACATCCGGTCCAGGAGATTTACCTTTAGGCATTTGTTTAATGGCTTGGTCCAACTCAGTAATATCTACCAGAATCACAGAGTTTCTTAAACCTTTCTTCTATAGGCTTAGAGTTATTAACTGAATCAAAAAAGGAATCCGAGTCACCTTCCGATAGATGAGATTGATAGAGTGACCTTCCGATAGATGAGATTGATAGAGTGACCTTCCGATAGATGAGATTGATAGAGTGACTTTCCGATAGATGAGATTGATAGAGTGACCTTCCGATAGATGAGATTGATAGAGTGTCCTTCCGATAGATGAGATTGATAGAGTGTCCTTCCGATAGATGAGATTGATTGAGTGACCTTCCGATAGATGAGATTGATAGAGTGACCTTCCGATAGATGAGATTGATAGAGTGAATATTTCCTTATTAATCACTTCAAGACCATCACATATAGTGTTATTAACATACATGGATGAAATACTATTCCTAGTCTGCCTTCTTTTCTCCAAATTAAAGAAATAAGATGCATTTTTTTCACCTTTCTCAATCCATTTGGCCTTTGAGCGGATGAAGGCACCCCTTTGAGTGGATGAAGGCACCCCTTTGAGCGGATGAAGGCACCCCTTTGAGCGGATGAAGGCACCCCTTTGAGCGGATGAAGGCACCCCTTTGAGCGGATGAAGGCACCCCTTTGAGCGGATGAAGGCACCCTGTGCCTTATCGTTGTATATGTCATCCAGTTCACATTGGCATTTTGCAAGCTCGGCTTTTTCATCATCATTTAAATCAAGTTTATTGTTCAGCCTGTTAATATCATCAATAATATCCATCTGCTTGGAGAATCTTTTTCGAGCTAGCATTTTACCGGTAGTGATTTCCCATCTGTTAGTAGAAGAAAGAGCAGAATGGAGACGGACAGGTCTCTCTGATAAGAGCTTTAGACTGTTTTTTTTGTTGTTTTTTTTCTTTTCGCATTTTACAAATCAAAATATATTTTATATTTGAGATTCTTCAAAGTAGCCACCCCCCGCCCCGACGACAGCCCCGCACACTCCCGGCACTCCCCCAACCAGCCTCATGAGTTAGTCAACTGGAAGGCATTTCAATTAACAGGTGTGCCTTGTTAAAAGTTAATTTGTGGAATTTATTTCCTTCTTAATGCGTTTGAGCCAATCAGTTGTGTTGTGACAAGGTAGGGGGGGTATACAGAAGATAGCCCTATTTGGTAAAAGACCAAGTCCATATTATGGCAAGAACGGCTCAAATAAGCAAAGAGAAACGACAGTCCATCATTACTTTAAGACATGAAGGTCAGTCAATATGGAACATTTCAAGAACTTTCAAAGTTTCTTCAAGTGCAGTCAGAAAAACCATCAGAGCTATAGACTGTTAACAAAATGACTCATTCTTTAAAAGAAAATAGTTACATTTCCAGTATGATTTAGAAAATCTCTTGTCATTATCAACACAAAGATAAAGAAGGGTGGAACAGGAGCTGAGGAAAGACTACATTCACTGACACGATTCAGAAGATTGGAAGATACCAATCAATAATCAATTCTAGATTGTAATTGTCTGTCATTAGTTGTAGAGTTAAACCAAGAAAACTGTTTTAAAGTTGGATTCTGTGAATGACAAATATAGGAAAGTTGAAAGTTCGAGCAATGGACTGAATGCCTGGAGGGATACCTATCCATAAAGTCATGAGGAGCAACGTTATAATCACCTCCAACAATAATGTTATCTGTTGAATATTTGTTTTTCAACTCAGTGTAGACTTTGCTAATAGATGTTAGAAGATTGCTTTTTGACCGTATGTTATAAAAGTAAATATTTACCAATATGTAATGTGACCCTTTATATTCGGAAACAATCCAGTGACCATCATCATCATCACACTTGGCTTTCTAAAACTGTTCCTGGAAAACGTCTGAAAAGTATTGCTACACCGGCAGAATGAGATGAGCCACGGCAGCAGAATGAGATGAGCCACCAGCAGAATGAGATGAGCCACGCCAGCAGAATGAGATGAGCCACGCCAGCAGAATGAGATGAGCCACGCCAGCAGAATGAGATGAGCCACCAGCAGAATGAGATGAGCCGCCAGCAGAATGAGATGAGCCACGCCAGCAGAATGAGATGAGCCACCAGCAGAATGAGATGAGCCACGCCAGCAGAATGAGATGAGCCACCAGCAGAATGAGATGAGCCACGCCAGCAGAATGAGATGAGCCACGCCAGCAGAATGAGATGAGCCACCAGCAGAATGAGATGAGCCACGCCAGCAGAATGAGATGAGCCACCAGCAAAATGAGATGAGCCACACCGGCAGAATGAGATGAGCTACACCAGCAGAATGAGATGAGCCACCAGCAGAATGAGATGAGCCACCAGCAGAATGAGATGAGCCACCAGCAGAATGAGATGAGCCACCAGCAGAATGAGATGAGCCACCAGCAGAATGAGATGAGCCACCAGCAGAATGAGATGAGCCACCAGCAGAATGAGATGAGCCACCAGCAGAATGAGATGAGCCACCAGCAGAATGAGATGAGCCACCAGCAGAATGAGATGAGCTACACCAGCAGAATGAGATGAGCCACACCGGCAGAATGAGATGAGCTACACCAGCAGAATGAGATGAGCCACCAGCAGAATGAGATGAGCCACGCCAGCAGAATGAGATGAGCCACCAGCAGAATGAGATGAGCCACGCCAGCAGAATGAGATGAGCCACCAGCAGAATGAGATGAGCCACGCCAGCAGAATGAGATGAGCCACCAGCAAAATGAGATGAGCCACACCGGCAGAATGAGATGAGCTACACCAGCAGAATGAGATGAGCCACCAGCAGAATGAGATGAGCCACCAGCAGAATGAGATGAGCCACCAGCAGAATGAGATGAGCCACCAGCAGAATGAGATGAGCCACCAGCAGAATGAGATGAGCCACCAGCAGAATGAGATGAGCCACCAGCAGAATGAGATGAGCCACCAGCAGAATGAGATGAGCCACCAGCAGAATGAGATGAGCCACCAGCAGAATGAGATGAGCTACACCAGCAGAATGAGATGAGCCACACCGGCAGAATGAGATGAGCCACGGCAGCAGAATGAGATGAGCCACGCCAGCAGAATGAGATGAGCCACACCGGCAGAATGAGATGAGCCACGGCAGCAGAATGAGATGAGCCACGCCGGCAGAATGAGATGAGCCACGCCAGCAGAATGAGATGAGCCACCAGCAGAATGAGATGAGCCACCAGCAGAATGAGATGAGCCACGGCAGCAGAATGAGATGAGCCACGGCAGCAGAATGAGATGAGCCACCAGCAGAATGAGATGAGCCACGGCAGCAGAATGAGATGAGCCACGCCAGCAGAATGAGATGAGCCACCAGCAGAATGAGATGAGCCACGCCAGCAGAATGAGATGAGCCACGGCTAAACATTATCGTGTCACCCCAAAGTCCAACATTTCAAGTCAAGATCTGAGGAATATGTCTCTTTAAATATAAAAAAACCAATTGGACATTAATTCATCTTTACAAAAAAGAAAAATAGCCTTGCGTTTTAGATTGTTACGTAAGCCCCTGGTGTTCAGGGATAAAAAGGAAAGAGAGATGTTGAAGAGTATCTGAGTTGTCTAGAATAAACAGGGACACTGAATAATACAAAAGTAGCATAAATCCTTCTTAATTAACTCGAACGATCACGACCACATCAAGGAGAATAAGTGGATAGTTTGTGTATATATTAATAGTTGACATCTTCAATTGAACTCTCAAACTTCAAATAAATAAATAAACCTCTGAAGGCTAATCAAGCCGTATGAAAAAAAGAAATGGAGATTTACTTACATAATATTGATCTTGAAACTAAATTAAATTAATAAAACCTGACTGATAATTTATTAAGCCATCAAATGACAGCAAACAACAACAAAAACAGTGTCCCTTTCAGTACTAGTTGTTGACCTGTCCCTTTCTGGAAGAGTTGTTGACCCGTCCCTCCCTTTCTCTGTGATCGTCATTGTATTGGAATCCAGAAAGAACAAAAGCCTGTTCTCAAACATTTACATCAAAAGGTGCAAAGCTATGGACAAAGACACAAAACATCCACCCACAAATTAAATATATTTTCTTGATCAAATAACATGGAAAACAACCACTTTTTGTACAGTATTAATTTACCATCCTTACAAACCGCTTAATGTAAATGTACATTACTGTATTGTACATAGGCTGGTCAGCTAGGTTTGTACCTGTAGACTTTCCATCACCATGAAGAAGAACAATGCACAAAACAGTAATAGAGAACATTGAGACATCCAGTGGTTTGTGATGATGTGGTTCAGTTGGTAGAGCACGGCGCTTGCAATGCTAGGGTTGTGGGTTCGATTCCCACAGGGGACCAGTATGAAAATGTATGCAGTCGCTCTGGATAACAGCGTCTATTAAAATGGAAAAGGAATGAAGAGACCATTTGAGTTTTCACATAGAAATAAGTTGCATTTGCATATTTTTTTACGAAACTGGAAAACATCAAGCAAGTATGTTTCTATTACACAAGTATTATCAGATGAACTGTTTTGTACAGATAATTATCAGACTCAAGTTACAAATGCTGGTAAACACTCAAATACATTTAGTAAAAAATGTGTCACCAAAGTAGAGCACTGGGCCTTTGCTAATGTCAGAGGTCACAGCATCACTAGTCCTGTATTAGCAAACCGATACAGTCTCCAGCGAGGGGAGAAAATCCCGCAGCACCCCCACTACCAAACCACTTCCCGCAGCACCCCCACTACCAAACCACTTCCCGCAGCACCCCCACTACCAAACCACTTCCCGCGGCACCCCCACTACCAAACCACTTCCCGCAGCACCCCCACTACCAAACCACTTCCCGCGGCACCCCCACTACCAAACCACTTCCCGCAGCACCCCCACTACCAAACCACTTCCCGCGGCACCCCCACTACCAAACCATTTCCCCCGGCACCCCCACTACCAAACCACTTCCCGCAGCACCCCCACTACCAAACCATTTCCCCCGGCTATGTAAATAGCTACATTAATACATAAATAAAGGATAAATACATTCATAAATTGATGTAGTATTCAAAACATATACCATATCTTTATAAAACAAGGTATTGCACCTGAACATGATTAACCTGTACTGTCTCTCTGGATGAAAGACATATGGCAACTCACCCAGTCACTCCCACACAACACTAAAAAGGTGAAGAAAGTTGCAGCATTGATCACACATTAGATACACAATCTGTAGATACATGCCAATACTCATCACATCTTACTCAATAATCAGAGATTTATCTGGTCTGTACAATATTTTTAATGCGTATTCACATCCTTGCATACAAATGTTATATTTTGGTGTGATCGGAGTTGCATGAGTTATTATTTTGTATTAAACTCAACCTGTTTACCATTTATTCTCCTGATTGAAGTTGAGGTATTGGACCGTGGAAGTGGGTGATCCCTTATTGCAGTGACGCAGTCTGGTTGTCTGGGAACCAGACTCCAGGGTGAAGTTGCCCCTAGATGCTGATATTGGGTCAGTTTTGATTTTTTTCCACTAATAGTTAAAGTTTTAATTGGGGGAGGGGAAGCTGATCCCAGATCTGTACCTAGGGGAAACTTTACCCTGGAGTCTGGTTGTACATCCTGGTCCTCAGACCAGACCACTGTCCTCTTCTCAGATCCACTTCTCCTCCTCACCCTGGAGTCCACAGAGAGAGCACCACTAAAACCAGCCTCAGACCCAATCCCAGCCTCAGACCCTTCACAGACCCCTGTCCTCTTCTCAGATCCACTTCTCCTCCTCACCCTGGCCTGTCTGGGGTGCCTGACAACAGTCGATGCCCTTGGCCTGCTGGTGGGACTTAGGGGGGCAGGGTTACAGATAATAGATCCAGCCCTCACCCTCTCCCCAGCCCCAGATCCAGCCCTCACCCTCTCCCCAGCCCCAGATCCAGCCCTCACCCTCTCCCCAGCCCCAGCCCTCACCCTCTCCCCAGCCCTCACCCCAGCCCCAGACCCAGCCTTCACCCTCTCCCCAGCCCCAGCCCTCACCCTCTCCCCAGCCCTCACCCTCTCCCCAGCCCTCACCCTCTCCCCAGCCCTCACCCTCTCCCCAGCCCCAGATCCAGCCCTTACCCTCTCCCTCTCCCCAGCTCTCACCCTCTCCCCAGACCCAGCCCTCTCCCAGGACCCAGCCCTCTCCCTCTCCCCAGCCCTCTTACTAGCCCTTGCCCCAGCCACAGACCCAGCCCAAGCCCAAGCCCCAGTCCCAGACCCAGACCCAGTCCAGTGCAGTCCTCTGGGAGTCCCAGATCCTGACCCAGACCCGGTCCCAAACCCAGCCCTCTCCATAGCCCTTTCCCAAGCCTCACACCCAGTCCCTGACCCAGACCCAGTCCCTCTCCTTCGCTCAGATTCACTTCTCCTTCTCCTCACGCTACTGGAGACTTCATAGAGGGCACCACTAGATCCAGACCCAGCACATTGCTGTCCACTGGGGGTCCCAGTCCCAGATCCTGACCCAGTCCAGTGCTGTCCTCTGGGAGTCCCAGATCCTGACCCAGACCCTGACCCAAAACTGGGGTCCCTGACTAAAGATGATGACCTCTGCCTTCTGGTGGGACTAACGGCTACAGGGTTACGGATGTTCCCAAAAGCCTGCATGCGTTTCAGGTGGCCGATCCCCATTTCAGGGCTCCCACACCTCTGACGCCCAGAGGCCTTCTCAGCAGAGTGGACCCGACTCTCACTGTAACTCCTCTTGGGGAGGGAGACGCGGCCCCGGTGGTCCGAGAGGGAGGCGAGGAGGGGGAGGCGAGGGGAGGTGTGGCTGTTTTGGGTGTGTGAGCGGCAGGCCCCAGTACAGGGCGGGTAGCGAGCGTGGCAGTGTGTGCAGCCGCAGACAGAGAGCGGGGCAGAGGAAGGGTGAGACAGGGAGGAGAGGAGAGTAAGAGGGAATGCTCTCTGGCACTGGAGGATGCACTTGGGCGAGCTGAGTCTCCCGTGGAGGGAGGGTGCACCGTGGTGGGAACAGCAGCGACTGGTTGGAGCAGAGGACACTCTCCCACTCTCCTCCTGAACCGTCTGGATCCGAAGCCATTCCAGCAGTAGTAGCCGCTCCAGGTACCTAAACCAAATCAAAATGGATCCCAGTTCAATGACATGCTTCCTCTCAAAACAGCTACATATTCAATAAAGAAAGTAAAAAAAAAAAAAAAAAAAGCAGGATAAGAACACAATGGGCCCGATTCAGACTTGAGGTAAGTTGATTTAACATTACATTTTACATTTTAGTCATTTAGCAGACGCTCTTATCCAGAGCGACTTACAGTTAATGAATACATATTTTTTTATACTGGCCCCCCGTGGGAATCAAACCCACAACCCTGGCGTTGCAAACGCCATGCTCTATCAACTGAGCTACATCCCTGCCGGCCATTCCCTCCCCTACCCTGGACGACGCTGGGCCAATTGTGCGCCGCCCATGAGTCTCCCGGTCGCGGCCGGCTGCGACAGAGCCTGGATTCGAACCAGGATCTCTAGTGGCACAGTTAGCACTGCGATGCAGTGCCTTAGACCACTGTGCCACTCAGGAGACTGAGTCCATGTTAAGTCTACTTATCTCAAGTCTGAATCGGGCCCTATGTCAATAAAAATAAGTAAGAAATCATAAAAGAACATTGTTCTGATTTTTCGTTATTTAGCCCTCCGAAAAGGCTCACCAGCAATGTCATGACTCCTGTTTTGTCCTTAATTTTATTTTAAACTAAATGACCACAGGTCATAAACCTGAAATACAACAAACAAATAATGACAATATATTATTCAAATATATAATGTAAATATATTATTCAAATAATATAATATAATAATAATGTAAATCAAATAAGCCTGCAACACCATCAAAAATGTGGCAAATCTGGCTTAAAACAACATTGACTACATCACCCAGAATGCCTAGCGCCAGAGGAGCATGCGCACAGTGACTCTGCAGTCACTGGTTGCTATGGACGCTGTCACAGGACATAGAACCCATGCCACCACATGGGGGGGGGGGGCTGTACCTGTCCAGCACCATGCCTGGGGAGGGGGAGGGGGGGGGCTGTACCTGTCCAGCACCATGCCTGCAGGTCTGGAGAGGGGGGGGGGCTCTTCCCTCTGGGTGGAAGAACACGGCCAGCTGCCGGAGGCTCCAGGAGTTGAAGGGCGGAGGGAGGAAGTCTGGGTAGCTGAACCGACCAGGGGCGTCGCCTCGGGGTCCAGGGAGGTCAGGCTGGAAGTCACTGGGAAAGATGACCTCTGGACGGAGGTTGAGGTTAGGGGGGGAGGAGGGGGAGGAGGGTAGAGGGAGCCTCTCTGATTCAGACAGGTCTGTGTCTATGTCACTGTGTATGTCCCCTTCTCCCTTCTCTTTCCCCCCTACACACACCTCTCCCCCCTCTCTCCCCCATTCATCCCCCTCTACACCCCCCTTTCCCTGGCCACCCAACCCCCCTGACTCCTGGGCTGTCCTCTGGCCCACAGGTTGACCTCCAGGCAGGACCTGGGAGCTATGATGAAGGGACACAGCATGTCTAGTCCTCCTGGAGACAGCCTGCTTCTGTTCTCTGTGATGGCTGCTCTGTGCCTCCCTCTGCTCTCTCCTCTCCTGTTCCTCCCTCCTAACCTGAGCTTCCTGCTGCTGCTCCCTCCTCTCCCTTTTCCCCTTCCCATCCACAGCTGATAACAGGGAGAAGGGCAGTGAAGGAGGGTCCATCTGGCCCTGAGGACTGAAGTAACAAACACAGTTAGAACACCTCAGACATGGTGCTAGTATCATATAGAATGATACAGGGTGATATAGGGTGATACAGAGTGATATAGGGTGAAACAGGGTGATACAGGGTGATACAGAGTGATACAGGGTGATATAGAATGTGGTAGTATGTTAAACTAGCTCACCTGAGTTCAGAGGTGTTGGTGTTGTGTTTGACTGAAGGAATGTTTGGTTTGTGCTTCTGTCTTCTCTGCTGCTTCTAAGATCAAAAACACATTGAAGACCCAGGTCAGTACCCTTTCCCTATGGAACCTGGTCAAAAACACATTGAAGACCCAGGTCAGTACCCTTTCCCTACGGAACCTGGTCAAAAACACAGTGAAGACCCAGGTCAGTACCCTTTCCCTACGGAACCTGGTCAAAAACACAGTGAAGACCCAGGTCAGTACCCTTTCCCTACGGAACCTGGTCAAAAACACAGTGAAGACCCAGGTCAGTACCCTTTCCCTATGGAACCTGTTCAAAAACACAGTGAAGACCCAGGTCAGTACCCTTTCCCTATGGAACCTGGTCAAAAACACAGTGAAGACCCAGGTCAGTACCCTTTCCCTATGGAACCTGGTCAAAAACACAGTGAAGACCCAGGTCAGTACCCTTTCCCTATGGAACCTGTTCAAAAACACAGTGAAGACCCAGGTCAGTACCCTTTCCCTATGGAACCTGTTCAAAAACACAGTGAAGACCCAGGTCAGTACCCTTTCCCTATGGAACCTGGTCAAAAACACAGTGAAGACCCCCCGGGTCAGTACCCTCTGCTCTCATCCTTCTAGACCTACAGTGAGGAGAACAAGTATTTGATACACTGCCGATTTTGCAGGTTTTCCTACTTACAAAGCATGTAGAGGTCTGTAATTTTTATCATAGGTACACTTCAACTGTGAGAGACGGAATCTAAAACAAAAATCCAGAAAATCACATTGTATGATTTTTAAGTAATTAATTTGCATTTTATTGCATGACATAAGTATTTGATCACCTACCAACCAGTAAGAATTCCAGCTCTCACAGACCTGTTAGTTTTTCTTTAAGAAGCCCCCTTGTTCTCCACTCATTACCTGTATTAACTGCACCTGTTTGAACTCGTTACCTGTATAAAAGACACCTGTCCACACACTCAATCAAACAGACTCCAACCTCTCCACAATGGCCAAGACCAGAGAGCTGTGTAAGGACATCAGGGATAAAATTGTAGACCTGCACAAGGCTGGGATGGCCTACAGGACAATAGGCAAGCAGATTGGTGAGAAGGCAACAACTGTTGGCGCAATTATTAGAAAATGGAAGAAGTTCAAGATGACGGTCAATCACCCTCGGTCTGGGGCTCCATGCAAGATCTCACCTCGTGGGGCATCAATGATCATGAGGAAGGTGAGGGATCAGCCCAGAACTACACGGCAGGACCTGGTCAATGACCTGAAGAGAGCTCCACTCGCCGTGTTTGGAGGAAGAAGAAGGATGAGTACAACCCCAAGAACACCATCCCAACCGTGAAGCATGGAGGTGGAAACATCATTCTTTGGGGATGCTTTTCTGCAAAGGGGACAGGACGACTGCACCGTATTGAGGGGAGGATGGATGAGGCCATGTATCGCGAGATCTTGGCCAACAACCTCCTTCCCTCAGTAAGAGCATTGAAGATGGGTCGTGGCTGGGTTTTCCAGCATGACAACGACCCGAAACACACAGCCAGGGCAACTAAGGAGTGGCTCCGTAAGAAGCATCTCAAGGTCCTGGAGTGGCCTAGCCAGTCTCCAGACCTGAACCCAATAGAAAATCTTTGGAGGGAGCTGAAAGTCCATATTGCCCAGCGACAGCCCCGAAACCTGAAGGATCTGGAGAAGGTCTATAGGGAGGAGTGGGCCAAAATCCCTGCTGCAGTGTGTGCAAACCTGGTCAAGACCTACAGGAAACGTGTGATCTCTGTAATTGCAAACAAAGGTTTCTGTATCAAATACTTGTTCTCCCCACTGTATCTGCTGCCTTTGATACTGTGAACCATCAGATCCTCCTCTCCACCCTCTCCGAGTTGGGCATCTCCGGCGCGGCTCACTCTTGGATTGCGTCCTACCTGACAGGTCGCTCCTACCAGGTGGCGTGGCGAGAATCTGTCTCCGCACCACGTGCTCTCACCACTGGTGTCCCCCAGGGCTCAGTTCTAGGCCCTCTCCTATTCTCTCTATACACCAAGTCACATGGCTCTGTCATATCCTCACATGGCCTCTCCTATCATTGCTACGCAGACGACACACAACTAATCTTCTCCTTTCCCCCTTCTGATAACCAGGTGGCGAATCGCATCTCTGCATGTCTGGCAGATATATCAGTGTGGATGACGGATCACCACCTCAAGCTGAACCTCGGCAAGACGGAGCTGCTCTTCCTCCCGTGGAAGGACTGCTTGTTCCATGATCTTGCCATCACGGTTGACAACTCCGTTGTGTCCTCCTCCCAGAGTGCAAAGAGCCTTGGCGTGACCCTGGACAACACCCTGTCGTTCTCCGCTAACATCAAAGCGGTGACCCAATCCTGTAGGTTCATGCTCTACAACATTCGCAGAGTACGACCCTACCTTACACAGGAAGCGGCATAGGTCCTAATCCAGGTACTTGTCATCTCCCGTCTGGATTACTGCAACTCGCTGTTGGCTGGGCTCCCTGCCTGTGCCATTAAACCCCTACAACTCATCCAGAATGCTGCAGCCCGTCTGGGGTTCAACCTTCCCAAGTTCTCTCACATCACCCCGCTCCTCCGCACACTCCACTGGCTTCCAGTTGAAGCTTGCATCTGCTACAAGACCATGGTGCTTGCCTACGGAGCTGTGAGGGGAACGGCACCTCCTTACCTTCAGGCTCTGATCAGTCCCTACACCCAAACGAGGGCATTGTGTTCTTCCACCTCTGGCCTGCTAGCCCCCCTACCTCTACGGAAGCACAGTTCCCGCTCAGCCCAGTCAAAGCTATTCGCTGCTCTGGCACCCCAATGGTGGAACAAGCCAGGACAGCGGAGTCACTGACCACCTTCCAGAGACACTTGAAACCCTACCTCTTTAAGGAATACCTGGGATAGTATAAAAGTAATCCTTCTACCCACCCCCCTACCCCACCCCCCAAAAAAATAATATTGTAAAGTGATTGTCCCACTGGTTATCATAAGGTGAATGCACCAATTTGTAAATCGCTCTGGATAAAAGCATCTGCTAAATGATGTAAATGTAAATGTAAGGCCCAGGTCAGCACCCTATTCACTATGGACCCTGGTCCAAAACACAGTGAAGGCCCAGGTCAGTACCTATTCACTATGGACCCTGGTCCAAAACACAGTGAAGGCCCAGGTCAGTACCCTATTCACTATGGACCCTGGTCCAAAACACAGTGAAGGCCCAGGTCAGTACCCTATTCACTATGGACCCTGGTCCAAAACACAGTGAAGACCCAGGTCAGCACCCTATTCACTATGGACCCTGGTCCAAAACACAGTGAAGGCCCAGGTCAGTACCCTATTCACTATGGACCCTGGTCCAAAACACAGTGAAGGCCCAGGTCAGCACCCTATTCACTATGGACCCTGGTCCAAAACACAGTGAAGGCCCAGGTCAGTACCTATGGACCCTGGTCCAAAACACAGTGAAGGCCCAGGTCAGCACCCTATTCACTATGGACCCTGGTCCAAAACACAGTGAAGGCCCAGGTCAGTACCCTATTCACTATGGACCCTGGTCCAAAACACAGTGAAGGCCCAGGTCAGTACCCTATTCACTATGGACCCTGGTCCAAAACACAGTGAAGGCCCAGGTCAGTACCCTATTCACTATGGACCCTGGTCCAAAACACAGTGAAGGCCCAGGTCAGCACCCTATTCACTATGGACCCTGGTCCAAAGTAGATTTGATTATAAATGGAATTTGGTGCCATTTGGGGTGCAACCCATGAGAATAAAACTGCAGCTTTTATGACAGTCATGCTGATATCTTTTCTTTTATGACAGTCATGCTGATATCTTTTCAAGGCTATAAATAACTACTGGGGACCAGTATCTCTGACAGATAGGATCATAGAAATAGAATGATTATTTCATATATAAATTGTTAATAATTTAATATTTTTTTTCTATGGACAAAGACCTACCTTTTCTGCTGACGAGGTGGGAATGTGTGTGTTGTCCAGATTTGGGGTAATCATCTGGGGATGCAAAGGCTTCTTTTGGCTCATCATCCTGGTGCTATTCAAGACATAGGAGTTAGGCAGAAAAATACTGTATATAGGCTATGCTAGGGCAAAATGTATGAAAAGAACGCTGAAACGCCTATGCTAGATGGTTGAAAAACCTAAGTATAAAAATGTCAACATGCAAAGAGATGGGAAAGAAGCACAATAAATGATGCACAATTTGAAGTTTATTTCTACATTGGTAATATGGTCCATGTATGTAGGGCAGGTCTTTAATTGCTATTTAGAACAGGGCAGATACTACCTCGTCACATGTCCGTCGGTCCATGAACTTTTGGCCCATTCCCGCTCCACCCTGCTAAGGAGCTTGTTGAGTCCAGTTGCAGCGCATTGCTGCACAACAGTTCCCATCCTGGGTTACGACCGGAGTCCATCCAATAAACGAGAAATAATCTCAGAGATTAAAACTAGTTTAAAAGAAAACGTGGCCCAGTTTGAGATACATGGAAATTCAGTAGTGCATGAATCATACTCGCACGTTCCTCGGGGATCGAGATGTAATATAGCCTACCATCAATACAATTATTCAAAATAAATACAATCAGCTGAAAAACGAATAGGCATATGAACCGATCAATGATTCTACCTTCACGTGTAACGGAAAATAGCGGATAATAAATCTAGAATTAAAGACGCGTTTTGGAATTCTACATTTCGACTAAATAGCAGCGCCTGTTTTTCAGGATCTATCCGATTATAAAAACGGACAAAGGATTCTTCAATTTATCCATGCAACGGCGTACAAAGCGTCTTCCCTTGTTAAGGAAGGTATTATAATTTCCCACAAATTGGCATGTTTTTATTCTAGGCATTGCACAGAGTGCCCATTTTTGCCCTTTCTACGCTTCTTGTTGCGACCAGCTGATTTGTTGAACGCCAGTCTGCAAAGCTTTGTGGGAACTGTAGTGTGAACGTCACAGAACATCTCTGTATTACAGCAGGTTTTAGAAACAGTGATTTTGTGGTTATTTGGCACAATAATGTGTAATATCGCAATTATCAGCTGCTATAAGAAAACGATCCACAATCATTCGTTTTTTCATGATTTTAATTTCCTAAATGTAGCCTATATACGTTTTACTGCTCCCCTGTTCCAATAACATGTTAAATAAACACCGTAATGGAATAACATATATAGAACAGGATGCCGACTGCCTTGGGACGACTACAACCAGACAAGTTTCCAAAAAGCTATACATCCATTTTCAGAAATGTTAGTAAATTAGCTTTTATTGTTTAAAGAAATTATAAATGAGACTGGTGTGTTTTTTCACTATTTAATCGTGGCATGGGGTTGTTCAATGACAGACATTGAAATCTATTACTTGATGGTTTCATTTCAGAGATAATCATGTTTTTTTTGCAAAATACTATATATCTGCCTCACTCTCAGAGAAATAAGTAGTACTGCTGGGTTTTACACAGTCAAGTGTAACAAATAACAAAACATTTTATAAAGAAATGTACAAATATGAAAAAATATATTCAATACAGTAATTTGATACCAGATCTGTATGCAAAATATTCACATTTGACATTTTAGTCATTTAGCAGATGCTCTTATCCAGAGCGACTTACAGTCAGTCAGAGCATTCATCTTAAGATAGCGAGGTGAGACAACCACAAATCACAGTCGAATATGCAGGATACGAACATTCCATTCCAGCTAAACAATGGATATATAGCGTTTATACAAACAAGCTCTCTGATGATGGTGGAGTGTAAAATAATTACTTTGGCTATATGTCTCATATTGGAGTAACTATACCTGTGTGTTGTAGCTAGCTAGCTAACGTGTGTCTTTAAGATGTCTCATATTAGTCTGAGTAACTATACCTGTGTGTTGTAGCTAGCTAGCTACCGTGTGTCTGAGAGATGTCTCATATTAGTCTTGGAGTAACTATACCTGTGTGTTGTAGCTAGCTAGCTAATGTGTGTCTGAGAGATGACTCATATTCTACCCCATGCTGCTACAGTAGGAATACAGACAGTACACAGAGATTGCCCATGAATGTCTAATAGCGTTGTCGTCTTTCTCTCACAGACAATACCGCTTGGATACAAAAAGGTTGATGACTCTCAAAGAGGAGATGTGAAAGGTCCCATAACAACCCTTGTATCAAAGGGACTCTTAACACCTCACTGCACCACCCAAACACACCATATGCCAGTATTCCCTTTGTAGAACTGTATTACACTGCTCAAAAAAATAAAGGGAACACTAAAATAACACATCCTAAATCTGAATGAATGAAATAATCTTATTAAATACTTTTTTCTTTACATAGTTGAATGTGCTGACAACAAAATCACACAAAAATTATCAATGGAAATCAAATGTATCAACCCATGGAGGTCTGGATTTGGAGTCACCCTCAAAATTAAAGTGGAAAACCACACTACAGGCTGATCCAACTTTGATGTAATGTCCTTAAAACAAGTTAAAATGAGGCTCAGTAGTGTGTGTGGCCTCCACGTGCCTGTATGACCTCCCTACAACGCCTGGGCATGCTCCTGATGAGGTGGCGGATGGTCTCCTGAGGGATCTCCTCCCAGACCTGCAATAAAGCATCCGGCAACTCCTGGACAGTCTGTGGTGCAACGTGGTGTTGGTGGATGGAGCGAGACATGATGTCCCAGATGTGCTCAATTGGATTCAGGTCTGGGGAACGGGTGGGCCAGTCCATAGCATCAATGCCTTCCTCTTGCAGGAACTGCTGACACACTCCAGCCACATGAGGTCTAGCATTGTCTTGCATTAGGAGAAACCCAGGGCCAACCGCACCAGCATATGGTCTCACAAGGGGTCTGAGGATCTCATCTCGGTACCTAATGGCAGTCAGGCTACCTCTGGTGAGCACATGGAGGGCTGTGCGGCCCCCCAAAGAAATGCCACCCCACACCATGACTGACCCACGGCCAAACCGGTCATGCTGGAGGATGTTGCAGGCAGCAGAACGTTCTCCACGGCATCTCCAAACTCTGTCACGTCTGTCACATGTGCTCAGTGTGAACCTGCTTTCATCTGTGAAGAGCACAGGGCGCCAGTGGCGAATTTTCCAATCTTGGTGTTCTCTGGCAAATGCCAAACGTCCTGCACGGTGTTGAGCTGTAAGCACAACCCCCACCTGTGGACGTCGGGCCCTCATACCACCCTCATGGAGTCTGTTTCTGACCGTTTGAGCAGACACATGCACATTTGTGGCCTGCTGGAGGTCATTTTGCAGGGCTCTGACAGTGCTCCTCCTGCTCCTCCTTACACAAAGGCGGAGGTAGCGGTCCTGCTGCTGGGTTGTTGCCCTCCTACGGCCTCCTCCACGTCTCCTGATGTACTGGCCTGTCTCCTGGTAGCGCCTCCATGCTCTGGACACTATGCTGACAGACACAGCAAACCTTCTTGCCACAGCTCGCATTGATGTGCCATCCTGGATGAGCTGCACTACCTGAGCCACTTGTGTGGGTTGTAGACTCCGTCTCATGCTACCACTAGAGTGAAAGCACCGCCAGCATTGAAAAGTGACCAAAACATCAGCCAGGAAGCATAGGAACTGAGAAGTGATCTGTGGTCACCACCTGCAAAACCAGTCCTTTATTGGGGGGTGTCTTGCTAATTGCCTATAATTTCCACCTGTTGTCTATTCCATTTGCACAACAGCATGTGAAATGTATTGTCAATCAGTGTTGCTTCCTAAGTGGACAGTTTGATTTCACAGAAGTGTGATTGACTTGGAGTTACATTGTGTTGTTTAAGTGTTCCCTTTCTTTTTTTGAGCAGTGTATTTATTATAGGTGTTAGTGGTATATTTTTCTTCTACTGTATATATGTCATATATTGCCATAACTGTTCCTGCATGATGCTGTGTAAACTCACCTCGGTCTCCAGAGCAAATAAACTTTGTCTTGAATACAAGCCATGTCAGCGTATTTGCTATATTGACAGACTAATCTACTGTTTTATTAAAACATGTTTACTTGCCAAAAAATTTAAGTTTAAATGATACACCAACTCCCTGTATAATTAGTTTTAGCAGTAAGACTGAAGCTAGTTTATCCAAATACATTTCATGAATATCACAATAAATTGATCCAGTAGTTGAAGTCAACACTATTGGTTTCCGATGCAGCTGGAATCATTTAGTCACTTGCCAGTAAACTTGTAAAAAATATTATATAAAACACCATTATATACATATGTACAACAGCTGGCAATATCTATAGCACAACACAGTTGTGCATACTAGGCATTCTATATTATACTACAACATCAGTCTAACTGAATATGGATGTTGTGATGGCTGAATGTTCCAGGCAGGTTCCAGAATGTTCTTCAGCTGGTGAACCTCTTCTTGTGTTGGGTAATGGCAGCTGGTTTAGCAGGCTTTGGTTCTGTGGCGATGTTGGGTTTGGGGAGCTGTGACTCTGGCTCCTTGTAGACAACCGTCTGGTCCTTTCTGCACTCCACAGCCAGGTGGACAACCGTCTGGTCCTTTCTCCACTCCACAGCCAGGTGGACAACCGTCTGGTCCTTTCTCCACTCCACAGCCAGGTGGACAACCGTCTGGTCCTTTCTCCACTCCACAGCCAGGTGGACAACCGTCTGGTCCTTTCTCCACTCCACAGCCAGGTGGACAACCGTCTGGTCCTTTCTGCACTCCACAGCCAGGTTGTCAACCGTCTGGTCCTTTTTCCACTCCACAGCCAGGTGGACAACCGTCTGGTCCTTTCTCCACTCCACAGCCAGGTGGACAACCGTCTGGTCCTTTCTCCACTCCACAGCCAGGTGGACAACCGTCTGGTCCTTTCTCCACTCCACAGCCAGGTGGACAACCGTCTGGTCCTTTCTCCACTCCACAGCCAGGTGGACAACCGTCTGGTCCTTTCTCCACTCCACAGCCAGGTGGACAACCGTCTGGTCCTTTCTCCACTCCACAGCCAGGGGGACAACCGTCTGGTCCTTTCTCCACTCCACAGCCAGGGGGACAACCGTCTGGTCCTTTCTCCACTCCACAGCCAGGGGGACAACCGTCTGGTCCTTTCTGCACTCCACAGCCAGGTGGACAACCGTCTGTTCCTTTCTCCACTCCACAGCCAGGTGGACAACCGTCTGGTCCTTTCTGCACTCCACAGCCAGGTTGTCAACCGTCTGGTCCTTTCTGCACTCCACAGCCAGGTGGACAACCGTCTGGTCCTTTCTGCACTCCACAGCCAGGTGGACAACCGTCTGGTCCTTTCTCCACTCCACAGCCAGGTGGACAACCGTCTGGTCCTTTCTGCACTCCACAGCCAGGTTGTCAACCGTCTGGTCCTTTCTGCACTCCACAGCCAGGTGGACAACCGTCTGGTCCTTTCTC